AGTTACTTTTCGTCTGCTGTATTCACTAAGACTCCTACTTTTCTTTCAGACTAAATTTAGGAAAGGTCCTGATGCTGAGTGTGCTGCAGGCTTCCTGTAGCCGCCTGTGACGTCGTGCCCTGGGCCCTGAGGCTGAGTGCACCTGCCGCTCACTTCTGCACATCTGGGTGCTTCCTGTTTGTTTTCTTTGCGCTGGTGAATGTTATGTTTGCTTTTATGAACAGTGATGTGTTGACTTTTCCTTTCTATGTGTTCTTTGGAAGTATACAGTAGTTTCTTGTGTAATAAAAAATAGAGTTGCCAGATCATAGCTTCTGGGAATGTTCAGTTTTAAGAGGTAATAGGAAAGTGTTTTCCAAAGTGCTTATACATTTCACTCTCCTAGGGCAAAGTTTAAGATCCTGTATGCACCCGCATTCTCTAGTGCCCCGGCTGTCCCTCCCGTAATGGAGAAGCTGGGGAGGATCCCCATGCCCGGTCTTGACCTGCAGTTCTCCGTGTCTCCTGGTGTCGCTGTCTCTCTGCAGCTGAGAGGTGCCTGAGTCTCTCACTCATTTTTCTGTTGGACTTTTGTGCCCTTCTTACTAGTTTCCAGGGCTCTTAGCACATGTGTGGAATGGTGGTCCGAGGCTGGAGAGTGCTCCTACCCCTCCCCGCCACAGGGCACTACCCATGTCTCAATTCCGGTTATGACAGACACTGTGCAACAAATGTCACCCAGGCTACGGTCATCATCACTTTGAGTGCCACCTCCTCTAACAGGAGCTCGTCACCTGCAGCTGTCTTTCTCGTGGATCTTCTCATGGCAAACCTCTGAGGCCCTGTGTGCCTAAGAATATTTTTATCCTGCTCTTGCATTTTGACTAACAGTTTGGCAGGATATAAAATTCTAGGTTTTAACTTCTTTTTCTTCAATCAATTAAAAATACATTGCTCCATTGTTCTCCTGTTTCCTGCATTAATCTGATTCTTGTTTCATTTAACGTGACATGCTCCTTCTCTGTAGAAGCTTTTCCAGTCTTTTCATTGTTGTCATTACTTGTAAACTTCATGATGTGCACATGAGAGGACCAGGCAGTGACTGCCAAGCAGTGCGTAGGCGCTGAGGAGTGTCAGCAGCTGTGACTCTGTGACTGTCTCCACACAGGCTCGATGTCTGTGTGACTGTCTGCACACAGGCTGCGGTGTCTTTGAGTGTCTGCACACAGGCTGTGGTGTCTCTGTGACTGTCTACACACAGGCTACGGTGTCTGCGTGACTGTCTACACACAGGCTCGGTGTCTGAGTGACGTCTGCACACAGGCTGCAGTGTCTCTGAGTGTCTACACACAGGATGAGGTGTCT